CCTCCCCCCCTTCACATCTGGCGGAGCACTATTTGGCGCGACACGGGTCACCACTTGACCGCCTCGCGCAGCTCTTACGACGCCCCTCCCTCCACCCCAAATTACGCGCGAAGACACTGATCAGTTTTAAACGATTTTTAATCTTCAACTGGCTCATTTAAGCTCCGACCTTCCGTGCTTTCTGCTGTGACTTTTGACATCCTTAACAGCTGAGCAGGTAAGATTTCGAGCTTTACAATAAGATCTAATATTTCGCGAAGACATACATACTTCTGACATACAGGTATACACATTGCAGCCAGAGAGAGGAAGGTTTAATTCATCATCATTACTCGAGTAACAACTTACGGGCATTAAAACAGAAACTGTCGCGTTCAAACAGAAACTGTCGCGTTCCTTAAGAAAAATGTATCTCGATAAGAATAGTCCTGAGTATCAGTATGCTACGAAAGGACACCGGATCCCCCTTCTGTTCAATTATGATTTGGACAGTGAGATGGCAGACGTCGCTCAAGCTGAGACTAAGAGAAAATCTTCCTTAGGCAAGCGTTCGCACACAGCAAAGACACCGGGTACGAGGAAGAAGAAGTCCAAGCTTCAAGTCGTTTCAACAGGAAAAGAAAGAATAACTTTGACCATCGCGAGAGTAAAAACGGCCAGCGAATCGGACTTGGAAAACTTGAACAAAACTGACTTGGAAAATGTGAACAAAACTGACTTGGAAAATGTGAACAAAACTGACTCGGAAAATGTGAACGAAATTGACTTGGGAAATGTGTCAGCGTCTACACAGAAAGATGAAGAACAAGAAGCAGAAATGATGGCTCAGCCCATACTTGAGGATATCGCCAGCACAGACAACAGTGAATGCACCTTTGTTTTTCTGAACTACGACCAACAGTTTTTGAACACACAGCAAGAGGAGAGGAGAGCCCCAAAAAGATCTTTGAAAGAAGAAGCCCAAACTGAGCCTCCAGAGAAGAAAATGCGTGAACTGAGTTATGAGAGTATTGAGAGCAACATTTTCCCAAAAGATGAGCTGACAGTTTTCCGACAGATATGCGAAGTAAGTAAAATATTTCTTTATCTATTTGCAGAAAACTAAATAAATATGCCGTTTTTTTCTGGTACCAAGAAGATATTTTTTAAGCTGAAAAAAAAAGAACAAAAGAGATATTTTCTAGTTTTAACGCAACAGAATATATTCTGGGATCTTCCTGAACGACAGTCTTAGAAAGAAAAACGGACGACATTTATTAGTCCAGGATTATCGAGACTTCCTAAGAGACACTTGCAAAAGATATGTAGTATGATTATGTTAAAAATCAGCAGAAAATCAAGGTACAATCGAAACTGTCTAGGACGGCCGCCCATTGTCCAGGAGAATAGTAGTGTTTATTTAGACAGGTGAACGTCTTACAGGGTCATTACAATGTAAAAGTGCAAGTGAGGAATTAGACCATATTCAATGTTTTAGACCGGTGGAGCAAGTGTGACGGTAAACTTGTACATTTCCATCTCAACGTTCACTGTCCCCACCCAGCATTTCGAGTTCACCCCATTTTCTCTTTATCATATATAGATAATTGCTTTTTTATGCTTTGTTATTTACATGTATTTTCTCCCCCGTTGCTCTCTCTCTCTCTCTCTCTCTCTCTCTCTCTCTCTC